TTATAATTTAAAAATTTGTAATATAAAATTAAATGAAAAATATTTTTAATATGTACATTCTATAAAAATTAATTATATTATTTTATACATATTAAATTTATTAATATATTAGCAAACTTTATATTTATATATATATAAATATCATAATATTATAGAAAATAAAAAAAAATGAATATTTTAGATAAGTTATTATTTTTAAATTATTTGCAAATAAATAATTTTTTCAAATAAAAATGTAATTTTAAAATAATAATTTCTTTAAGATTATTTCCTTTTTAATTACAAATAAAATTATTTGTTATTAAAGAAAGAAAGAAAGAAATAAAGAAAGAAAAAAAAAAAAAAAAATTAATTAATAATATACTAATAATAAATCAAAAACTATTATAAAAAAAATATATATAAATAAATTTATATCAATAAATAATAATAAAAAAAAATAAATATTTTTTGAAATAGACAAATTTTCGAAAATTAATTTAATAAATTTTTTATAATCACATATTTTATTTATTAAAAATCAAATTTTCATTATATAATTATTAATTTTGGATTTTTATTTTATATATATAATTATAATATTTATGTTTTTTTATTAATTAAATTATTATATATATTTGAAAATTCACAATAAGTTATAAAAATATTAATAATAATAATAATCTATAAATAAATTGTATATATTTAAAATAAAAATTATTGAAAAATAAAATATAGAAAGCATTTAAATATAAATAAAAAAAGTAAAAAAATGAAAAAATATTTTTAATATAAATTAACTAAAAATAAATATAAAAATATTTAAAATAAATTAACATATAAAATTATTAACCATATAAATAAAATATAATTATGTTATTAATATAATTTTAATTCACAAAAATAATATAAAGTAATTTATAAAAAAATTATTTTTAATAAATATTTTATTAAAAGATTTTTTTTAAATCTATAAATTCATGGTTATTTTTAATAAATAAAATAAATCCATAATCACAAGATTTAATTATTTATATATTTAAAATTTTATAATATATTTATTTTATATCTTTTCTAAATTCATTAAAAAAAAAATATAAATTTA